AAATAAATAAATAAATAAAATCTAACCAGTGCATTAGTGAGGGACTGGGGTTGTTTGATTGAATCCACATCTGTCTGTTGATGTGTGCTTTGGACTCTGACTCAAGCTGAGTACTAATGGCCAATTCAAGCCAATTACAGCAGTAATTGCAGAGCTCTTGGCATTTGGCCTTATGAGAAGAGAAACCTGCTCTGACTGGTGTCGCCAGGTAGTGAACAGTGAGGGACAGAAATGGACCCATTTGGAAGATATCTATTTGTAGAAAAAGTAAAAAAAAAAAAAATTAAACCCAAGTTTGCCTTAATATAAAATCTTTACACTGAATGGAACAATTACCAACCTCATAAATCTATATAATTGTTTGGCAACCCTGTTATACACTATTTTTTAAATATAGATAAGCCTATATCCTCTCACAGTGCCATGTTTTCCATGGTGGCTCTCCTCACTGTCAGGGCTGTGACGGCTCCGGAAAGCAGCTTGTCTGTTTTCTGCCCACATACTTGAGGACCTGGCCAGACTCACACTGCCCAAGAGAGAAGCTGCCATTTCCACAAACTTACAAATAGGAAGGTTTACTTGCAATGGCTGCAGACATCCCTGAGTTAAATATGCAGCTCTTATTTGGCCTCAGTATTGTTCTATAAGCAGTGCATTCATTCTTCTCAAAGACAGTCTAAGTCCTTATAAATTATTAAATCATTACTTTAAATTTTGTATTTGTCCCTGTGTTGATTAATAAATCACACACACGTACTCAAAGGTTAAGAGAGAACTGAGACTTTTTTGGTGGAGTGTCTGATGACTGAATGAAAACTAGGCTAAACTTAATTTAAAAGATAAGATAAGGAAGCTATCTTCTGTATTTTTGTTACTGTCAACAAAAACCAAAACTAATAATGCATTATACCCTGTCTCTATTTTCTGACTTCTACACACTTTTTTTGAGGTCACAGCCCCGAGCTTATTCTTTACCACTGAGGATGTACATCATTTTGGTTACATGTATGTACATGTGCTTTCATGTTTTTTTTTTTAAATGCTAAATAACTTCTAAAAGCAGCGTCATATTGTAGGTTTTAGCAATGTTACTCAATAGAGTAAATAGTGCCTTTGTTTGGGACTATTTTCAACTGCAGATTTGATGCACTAGTGAGTATTTACTGCAGCAGAATGATATATGTGGAACTGAGTCAAAATAACCTCCAGTTCCCATCTTCGTCATAATGAAGAAACATGTCAGCCAGTGTAACAATGTGACTCAGTGCTGAGTTTTTTTAATGGTTTTTAGACAACATTGGAGCTGTAAGGCACAACAGGCCATCACAGGCTCTGGCTAAACAGATATTATTGGTTTTGGTCTTTTCATAATATTTGTTGACTGTAAGACACATATATTTTTCTTTTTGAAGGGTAGTGCTGATATTTGTCTCTGAAACAACCTTGAATTCCTTGAAGCACTGACTCAACTAGATGCTGGAAACTTTCCACAGGGGTCCCGGCCCATGCTGACTTGATAGCATCACACAGTTCCCGCAGATATTTAGGGGGCACATTAATGCATCTGATGGCACATTATGCTGCTGGAAGCATCCATTTGGAAAAGGATTGACTGTGATAATAACCGGGTGAACTTGGTCAGTGAAAATCTGCGAGTACACTTCACTCTGGATTTTAAATGATGCTCATTTGGTGCCGCGTGACGGGACTTGTTGAACAAGGTGACATTTTTCTTTTTTCCAGTCATTGTAGATCCTGTGAGCTTTATCTCGTAGTAGGAACGTAGAGTGCTTGTGCTTGTGCGTCTTCTGAGACATCCGTCTGCACATCACTGCTCCATAAAGTGAGTTTAGTGAGTTTGTGGCCTGTCAACTAGCATCAAGACATCTTGCCACGCTCCTTTGACCCCTTCCGTTTATGATGCATTTTTCTCCCCAGAATTGCTGCTGCTGTCGGGATGTTGTTGTTTTTTTTGTTTGTTTGTTTGTTTTGGTTTGTTTTCGCTGCTATCCTCAGTACCCTCCCATAACGCGTAAATACCCCAGTGTGACGGCTGTTTTGTCAGATGCTGGAACCATCGCATCTGTAATGATCATGCTATATTCAAAGCGACTTAAATCCCACGTCTTGCCCATTCCAACATTTAGTTGAACAGCAACAGAGCCTCTCAACTCTGTCTGCCTGCCTTATGTCTTATTTACACATCACTCAGACTGGGAAGGCAAACTGTTTGCATAAAAGGGGGGGGTGAAATGAAGTTAGAGTATTTTTTTTTTGTTGAGAAAGATAGAGATGAAGAGAGAAGAAAACAGAGGCACATATAGCCTGCAAGCTGATATGACAACAGAAATACCAGACAATTCCACTGGAGTCAGGTTGTTTGCTGATAATTGGATTCTACCCTCAATAACAGTTACTGTGTTTATTTTAAAGCAAGCAAAACATGACAACCAAAGTTATTCAGCTGTATACCTCATTATGTTGCAGTCAGCTGTGATTTTGATACCCATGACTACACTTACATTTCTTGACAGCAAAGGTTTGTTTCACTTCCTTTTTTTTTTTTTTTAGAGCAGCATAAAAGTTAACAAAGGCCTTTACTGAATATCTATTTTCAGCCTTTTCAAAGTCACCGGTTGACTTAAAGGGCTCTTCCTTATGAAGAGTGTGTCCCCCCCCTACACACACACACACAAATTCCTCTGTAGCCTTCAGTTAACCATCTGCTGGGACAGGAGCACATGGCAGAAGATGTGTTAATGAATGCATAGTTATATAATCCAAACCTGTGGTGGAGGGAGAGACCACATCTCTTGTCAAGAGAGAAAGGTTAAAGGGATTCTTTGTGCCACCAGTGCCCCCAAGTGGCCGGCGGTGGCATATATTTCCCCTCCCATCCTCACCTATTCAAACATGACATGACAACTGCGGCTTTGCCTTTTCTCTTTCTATAAAGAATAACTCAAGAGACGTAGGAGCTGATGTATCGCACGTGACAGGCTGATATACGGACGGTATTGCTTTTTCGATGACCACAGTTAAATGGGCTGCATGCTGACACAGTACACCACACAGCAAGGACGACTATTACAAATCAGTCCCCAGCCCTCCCTCTTCTCCTCCTCCTGCCAAAACGCCATACCTGGTCCTTGCCCCGGCCAGCCATCATACCCCTTATGAATCAAAGACACTGGAGCAGAAGTAGAGAGAGACAAGGACTTATGAGCACTTGGCTCTGCCACCACCGTTTTCCTTTCTTTCCCTCTCTCTCTCTTGCAGTCTGTACATTTTTCTCACTCCTCTTCTGCATCTATCTGTCTAGCTAGGCCGGATGATAAATCCTCCGGCAAGGTTTAAAGCACCAGCGGAGCCGACACTGCCCAGGTTACACTCTGTTCACATCGGCTAATATATCACGTGATCAGTGCTGTAAAGGATAGAAAAGCTGCGCGGGTTAAAAGAGGAATGCACTGCGAATAATTCTCAATAATTTATAGGTTATAGTTCTGGGTCTTGATAGAACGGCGTTCTGGTCCAGATCCGGACCACGGTCCACCTATTAGTGACCTCTGTCATACAGGCATCTAGGCTTCCAACTGAGCTGCCCCAAATTCCCCGATGCTCAAGCCCAGCAGGCCGTAGAATACACTGGTGGAAACCCTGAACAGAGCGGCACTGATCATCTCCTTAACTCTCTGTTAGAAATTCAAGAAGCATATTTTCCAAAATGTCAAACTGTTTCCTTTAAGTAGCTTCAAAGCAATTTCCCCATTGTTTGACACTATCACATACACTGTGTATTCTGCTTTTGCTTGTTTCATTGCTCCATTCAAGTCACTGCATTAAAAACTACAATATAAAACACCTTCACAGCAGGAGGAACATTTAAATGCATTTTGTATAATTTTGTAAGCAGTGTCTGTACTTGTATGACATATTCTTTGAAAACCTTGGTGTATTAGTTGAATTCTAAATGAAGTCTTGTGGGTTTGAGTAATACTTGTACAAACAACGTGGATTTCTAGTGATGAACCTGCCAAAGAAGAGCTTAAATATTAGATTGTAGAACTGTGTGTGAGGAGCTAATAGAGATAAAAGTCAAATCTCTAGTTAAGAGTTAATTTTACACATTCTGTTTTTTTGGGATTAATCAAAATAGTTGCAAAACAGACGATTCCCTCCATTACAGGGAACTCCCTGCTGTGAGAGTCAGTATATATAATAATAATAATAATAATAATAGACAGTCACAAATACTGGGAATATTGTAAAACACTTTTAAAGTTACTATCTCTCTGTCTCTCTGCCTCTGTGTTTATAAGCAACCCGTCGAATAAACAGGGACTGGGACAAGTAGAGAAGCAGTGCGGCCCGGAGTCTGGTCTGCTTCACTGGACCTGAACACAGCCATTTCATCTGTTGAACCAGCAGGCCAAATCAAGTGGTCTTTATTAAAGTCGCTTTGATGGATTCACCCCTGGCCTCCCCCGCTGTGATCTATCGCCTGTCCAACCCTTGGAGGTCGTAATAAACTTGTTTAGCAATGGGGTCACTGCATGCAAGCAGAGCGTGTGTGTGTGTGTGTGCGCGCTTATATGTGCTTATATGTGCTTGTATGTGCGTAGGTACTTTTACAGTATGCGGCTCAGGTCTGTCGTCACAACCGATGCATCGTACATTCATAGCCTCTGGCACTCCTTCCACTTGTGATGATACTTGTAGTTTCCTCGCAGATACTGGTGTGATTGCATCATATATTTATACATATACACACACACACACACACACACACACACACACACACATTTAAGATGCGGACAGGCAGAGTAGCAACGCTGTTATCACTCTGAGTAGTTTTACCGTCTTGAGCAGCTCTTGCATGTTTCCTAATAGAGTAGTAAATCAAAGGCAGTTGAGCCAGGGTAAGTCCTTAATAAATTCAATGAAGCCATGCACAGACAAGCTATTTATTTGTAAAAATGAATGAATTCCTGTTTTGTTATATTTTTCCATGAACCATGATATTTCTCTCTTTTTTAAGTATCTGTGCTGCTGACTTGAATAGGCGAGACACGTCAAAACACCAATACCTGGCTCACAGTTCGTTACGCTTAATGCCTCATTTCTGCAGTTGTATTACATTTGCAGCATTAAGCAATGAATCACACTTGGGGAATAGCATTAGCTAGTGAACATGAGATCTTTTAAGTGTTCCGTCGATCATTGCATGAAGCCCAACAATTAGCAGACACTGTAGACATGGCCAGCCATCGTCCTCGTGTGCTGTCTTCCAGTTAGCGGCTGCTCTCCCCAGCGTACACCGGCAGATGCAGGTCACTGTTAGTCGAGGTGAAACCCATCCGCTTTTTAATGGGCACCACTGGGGCCCAGTGTTATTGGATGATTCATCAGATCAATGGTGCGAAGCAGTCCTTATCTGACTTCCCCGAATCCAGCATGTGTGGCTTGTTCAAGTTTATGTAGCTTACATGGAAACAAGCGCCTGGCACTGTGGGTTATAGGCACCAAAGACTATATATGATTTTATTGTTTTAACAAAGTTAAAATTGAATTTACAGCTCTGTTCCCAGATGTTATTACAAATGTTTCATTTTTGAAAATAAATCACAGCAGTGCAAGTGTGATGTACTTTTATGAGCGAAATCCCTCACAAATAAAGTTTTATGAGAGGTGTGACTGGAAAGATTCAGGGATATTTCATTCTGAAAAGCCCTTTGGAAGACACAGCAAAGGGCAAAGCCCGTTATTGTTGCTGTTCTTTATGCTGTTGCTTTATTAACAGCGGTAAAACCATTGAAGTCACTGTAGGTTATCACAGGTTATATTGTCCATGGACAGAACTACAGTTTTAAACAAGAAGTGATGCTTTACAGTCTGGTGGAATAACATTACAAACAGGCCACTGTAATAGAAAACATTGTGGCTTAACATCAGGCGTTAAATATATCACAGAGTTAACTAAGCATGTAGCGTGAAATTTAGACTTTTAAAGTATAGAGTATATATTTTAATTAGTTAACTTTTACTATACAAATGGCTGTCTGTGAATCTTTGCAGTTTAGACACGTTGCCTGAAAAATGATATGAAAATGAAAAGTTTTCATATTTTAATACAAAATATGTGTTGCTATAAAGGGTTTCTAAAGGTTAATCCGTTTAATTATTGAATTAAGTTTTGGGTAACTGTATAATTTGATTTGGTCAGTTGTGTTCTTGTGATATAATCTGTAGAAAAGCTCATACTCTATCTCTTTCCTCATAAAAATATAGTCGAGGCGCCTTGGTGAACAGATTTTACTGGTGGAATTCCTCACGCAGGAATTCATCAAAACTGTAGTCATTTGCTGAGAGTCTGGGCATGTCCCCAGGCAGTTGCTAAAGCACCCCTCCAAGATGTCCAGAAGCTGAAGGCACCAACCGTCTGATTCAGAAATCCTCCCAAAATATACAATTCCCGGGTATTGTTCCTTACATTCACTTGAGGTGACATTCACTTCATTAAAGGAGCCATGCCATCAGAAGTTTGCAGGGCGCACCATCATGGTTGTCATAGTAGCCATCAGATTTGGCCCCTTCCAATAGTACCATTTAATGCCATTGTAGCGAACCACACTGGATGAGGCGGGGTAATATATGCCGTTCAGGTTGGACGGGCCACAAGCCTCAAACCACCAACCTGGAGAAAAGGAAATGTGGCAACGAGTTCAAGGAAGAAGTCAGAATTAATTGAATTCAAGCTTATGAAATGTAACACCCAAATGTACAGCTGTAGGTCAGCAGTAACTTTATATTGGCGCAGAGGGAAAATGAAATGCACTTCGGGACATTTACAAGGGGGTGGATGGAAATGTTTAACAAGATGGGTTATAAGGAGAGACAGATTGAGATGAGTTGAGGGAAACTGCGTACCTCCTGATGCGAGCTGTGCACACTTGCAGGTGCAGAGGTCGTTGTCTCTGTCCTTGGTGCTGAATTGGGTGCCAGTGTGGGTGAGGCTGCTGGTCCGTCCTGCTGTGCCACTGAAGCCCTCGGCGTGAAGGCTGGTTTCAGGGAATAGGGGGAAAAAAATGCAAAGAATTTCAGCAACAAGCTCAGCCGCAGGCACTTCGATTCATTATTTAAAGCTGTGCAGGGAAACTTTTTGCTTGCTGGCAGCTCCAAATGGCAGTTTGTGGTCACCGCCCGAAAACTGTTTGAACTTCAGTATCTGTGAAATCATTTAATGTTATGTTGTAAACTGAACACAGCAAAGTCATGTTTAACATACCGGCTGATCTGTGATTCCTTAATACCACTGGATACTGAAGGGATGAACGAGGCAAAATATTGGAGAGTCCAAGTTTCTGTGGTTAGGAACCAGTTTATAGTTCACTTTTAATTTTCCGCTCTTTGCCTGATGTTTCAATGCCTCTAGGCATAATTAACATTAAAATGTAATTTTGGCAAACAGTAAGTAAATAGACAGCATCTTAAATAGGGCAAAATCCAGTGCTCCTCCCTTTTGCCGCTCCATCTTGTCATTTAGAGTGTATTTTTGGATAAAGCTCTTGCCTAGTGCAGCTTTAACTCGAAGTAACCCTGTGTATAATATTGCGTAATCAAAGATTAATAAAGATAAATCAAAAACAATGAAAGATTATAAAGTTGTAAACCACTGTAGATCACAGCCTTTTTTACTGTTATGTACAATACTGTTTGATACAAAGTACCATCTCCCCTCGGTCCCCACTATTGTCAAACTTCAATATAAAAACTAACCTAAAACCTCTCATTATTTTTCCTCCATGCTGTGCTTTGTGAAACAACCCAAACAGTCTGAAAGCAATCCCTGCCCAACTTAAATTGATTCGCTCAATTATTTCCATACAGCAGCACAGCAATGGATTGTTTGTGCATGCGTGTGTGTTTCTGTGTCAGTCCGTCCATCTGTGTGTGTGTGTGTGTGAGTGTGTCAGTACTGGTTTGAAGAGAGTGGACGAGGAGGTCAGCCCTGCTGTCTGGCCTCTCCTCTGCCCTGTCATTCTGTCTAGTTAGTACAGGACTCTCCCCTGAGTTATGTGACCCCCCTCTGTAGCTGGGGGCACGCTGTCTGTGATGACTAAATGAAGAATCCTCCTCTTGAATTTGTAAGTTCACAGGGCAGGACAACACATCACGCGGGGCAGCAAAATGGGAGTTTGAAATGACAGTGCCAGGGACGGGAATAAGGCTGGAATAGCAGAGAGAGTGGAATTAAACATGAGGGGATATTTAGTTGGGGCATTTTTTTGTTCTTTTCAGGATGGATGGGTGATGTGAAGAAAATTAAAACCTATCAAATGAGACAGGATGGCAACCACAGGCTACAGGATATCCTCCTGGAAAGCGTGGCCTGTGGACTGTGCCAGCTCTTCCTACTCTCCAAAACATTTGCATTAGCCATGACTTCCAGATGAATTAGTTCAGCTATTCTTCCAACACCGCAGACCACAGACTAATCCTTTTCAAGGTGACAGTCTTTTTACATTGTTATTTTATCCTTTAATGAAAAATATACTGTTACATTAAAAGGAATGCTTACCATTAGTTAACTATAAGAACAGCTATTCTTGGCTAACTTAAAGGGGAAAAGTGGTCTGTCATGCTGATGATTAATGTATGAATAATGTTAGTGAGTTTTAGGTGAAGACCTCCATGTTGCTCTAGGGAACACACTGGATGCAGCTGAGGAGTAGGAGGATTGCTTTGGCTGACTAGCTTCATAGCACCATAGTTGTGGCTTAGGATTTATAATAGAAACCCTCAGAAGAAGTCAGCGTCTTCAGAATGCTAGTAAAGCCAGTACATATTGAACTAGTTAAACAGAACATGATGTCAGAGGTAGCAGCTACAGAGGTGATTATATTCATTCAGGTGCTTCACCTCACACAGTGTAGCCTACAGCAAAATTGTGAAACATTCAGTTTCATTGCGCTTATTATGTGGAACAAACACAGGCAAATGCAATTTGCTGCACTATTAGGGATCTTGGAAAGCACACACCCACGTATGATTATGATTTGTCATCTCTCAGAGAGTCAATCTCCATAAACTTCCACAAGACAAGGGCAGATTCCTGTGAATTTATATCAAATCTAAATGGAATTATTTTGGTTTATATTTTATTTCTGTCAGTTTTGGAGGAAGCATGGCTTCAGCACACCCACATATAATCTTGTTAGTGATTGCAGGGTAACTGGGGAGCTTTGTTTGAGTTGTCAGTTCCTGGCAGGGCCAGGTATAACAGAGCATTCCTGTTATACTCCAGTGGATGTGGCTCCCCTTGGGGATTTTTCAGGGGCAGCGGTAGCTGTGGTGATGGGAAAAGAAAAATGGAGGCAGATGAAAGTGGCTGCATGCCCTCCATTGAGCTCATCATTTTGAATGACATTCTTAAAGATGGTCCAAGTGGCTCCTTAACTTCAGTGCTCAGGGATAAGAAAGCTTAGAGAATAGGAAAATGGAAAGGAATTTGAACTGTTGATAACAGTTTCTAATCTGTCGTGATATTAAGAGTCTTACACCCAAAGGAAAAGCAACGATTGAAAGGGTGTCACTGCATTGCAATTGTGCCTTTCACAATAGAAGGCTCTTAATAAAACATTTTACTGAAATAGAGCACCCTCATTATAGTCCTATTAATGTCAGATTTCTGAAAAACTGAGGAAATTGAACTGGAGATGGAATGTTTAAGTTTGGCATTTCCTCATATCTTGTGCTATCATGTACTAATTAATAAACACCTCAGGTAATTGGATGATTAAAATAGTGAAATTTGATCCAAGCATCATTACAAGTCAGAATACTGCAAATTTAGTCATGAATGAAACAACCAAATAATATATTTTATGCTCTGTGGTTACCTGTAGTTCTTGTCCTCTCCTTCTATGTAGAAGCGATCGTAATGTGAGAAGGCTTCGTTCCCCTCTCTGTCTTTTAGCTGGACATGCAGACTGTATTCCTGGGAGCTGGTCAGCTTGTGGATGATATCATTCCCCAGCCAGTGTTCCCCAGACGTCTCTCCAAAGCCCTGGATTAGACACAAAGACAGAGAAACAATAGAGAACAAGAAAATATTCTAACAAGGGGGATGATTTTACCAGAGACCTGCCAAGTGTTTTTGGAGTTAACATGAAAATGGACCTCAATTTAAGAAGTCACATTTATCATTTTGATGGCCCAAGGCAGTCCACCGAGTTTATGAAGTGAAATACTCTCCTCCCAAAGCAAGAGGCCAGTCAGTTGAGACCTTAATTTACCCTAATATCCTACCAATGCTCCATCTGGACTTGCAACATTTATAGTAAAATAAAAATTGGCTTTGTGGACGGATCCACTGTTGTTTTTAACTTTAGAGCTTAAGTTTTCTGTCCCATTGTTGGCGATTGAACACAACATTGAATGATCACTAAATATCATGATAAAGACTACAGGCAGTAATACATTTTGAGAAGTACATTTAGTGGTATCCTGCTTAAAGATACAGGCACACACAAACATAACAAATGCAGATGCTTCCATGCCGTGTAGGAGGAGTATGAAATGTAGGAATATGGAAATAATGAGACTGATGGCTTTTGCAATCACCAGATCTCAACCAAATTGACCGCCTATGGGCAAAGTTTGAGCCAAAGCCATCAAATCCATCCATCCATCAGCTCGACCACTTGTGCATCTGAGGGTTGCGGTGGGGCCGCAGCCAATCCCTCAGTTATACTGAAGTACATCATATTGTTATTGACCTCAATACTAATATTTATTGTTTTTTAATTCTCATTTCTTTAGCGTAATAAAAAACAGAATCACTTATATGTCTGATATAATGAATCTATTTTTTGTTTTTTTTCTAATACTGTTTTTTAGTACTCAATGGTACTGAAGGTTTTCACAGTATTGTTAGTTGTCCCCTTTGGGTTGAGCCTTCACCCCCTCTCAGGTAATTATAGCTCAAACACAGTATGAATGCTTTCCTTATATATATATATATAGATATATATATATATATATATATATATACACACACACACAACAAGCATTGAAGCTGTTCTGCTGGCTCACGGTGGCCCAGGACCTTACTGGGACATTTTACGTGGATTTTTAAATTCATTTATCAACCGCCTTTATATAATGAGAAGACAGAATATAAAGAAACAGGCACAGAATAGAGAAGTTCGCTTTTAAGTCACAGTGAAATCATTTCAATGTGCAGTGGTTCATTTTGATTTTCACTTCAGATGTTCCTGCGACCAGCCAGCATCTGAACGCTAATGCTGGCTGTGCATGGACAGCTTTGTTCATAGAACAGAGAGATGCCAAGGACTCACATAACACAGAGTCAGGAGGCAATTTTAAATCACGTTAACAGGTGGAAGGCGCAGTAATACGAACATGATTTCACAAAGGAAACCGCAGCAGCAAATGAAAACAGATACAGTGTGCCATGGGCGTGACGCCTTTGACAGAAATGGCTTGCAGTGGGAATGTATGTTATTGAATGTCACTCTGGGGAAATGATGATAATAACATGCAACGGTTTATTCGGAGAGACGGCTTAAGAAGAGGGATGTAATGTGGCCTCGACTAATGAATCTCACAGAGGACTGTCGAGAACAAAATACGTGAGCGAATGGAAAGAGATGGACTCAGTGTGAAAAGACAACATGCATATGTGAACTGCTAGGCATACAGTATAACCATTAAGTCTGATTATTTGTATTGTTGCATTTTCAAGGCAGAGTTGTGAATAAGCTGCAGGTTTGAACCATTCTTCATCCATTTGAAAAGAGGGACACATTTTGTGCTTGTTTACCTCTGGAATTCAAAGTCACTTTGTCTTGCTGCCAGACTCTCGTTTTGTTATTGGTCTTAAGTGAGAGTGAATAAATAGTGAGCGCCTTGGAGCATTTATCATTTGACCTGCAGGTCTGGATGCAACGTTTGATCAACATTGACCACAGTTTCTGAGAATATGGAGAGTGGTCCTGGGCAGTGAAGCATTTCAGTACATACGTTATCTGCCATCTACTAGGGCCCCTGTTCTCCCACGCCCCAACTGGAACCAAATATTTATCATCCACTTGTAAAAATATTGTTCTTGAAAGAGGGTTTTTTTTTTTTTTTTTGTCGCTCTCTTTTTCTCACTCTTTCACAGTCCTCTTAGCATTTTATTTCCAGTCCAAGCTGTGGTAATTGATTTGTTGGCGTGGGTGAAAGATAAATTGCTACTCTGTTCAATCAAAAACCCAAACTATAGCCTCGCTCACTTGTTCTGTGTGTAATTCAAAGAGGCTCGCAAGCATGTTTTTCTCTATTGCTCAAAGGAAAATAGTGATTCTGCTGAGAAAACTTTGTTATGAGATTCAAAAAAACATTATCTAAATGTTAAGTCCAAACAAAACAAAAGCCAAAGGTGTGTGATTGATTCTGTGAAAGCATTGGAGCAACTTCACAGTCTCTTGTGTGCGATTGTATTATATCCAGTTTGTTTTTTGGGCCCTGCATTTGGTAATGTTGTTACTCTCATCACCATACTCATTTCCCTTTGCAGGAAAGCTATTGGGGTCTAAAGGATGGATACAAACAGTAGTGCTCTGTGGTCACTGAAGTACATGATGTGTGTGTGTGTGTGTGTGTATGTGTGTGTGTGTGGGAGTATGACAGGGAGAGGGAGCGAGAGCAGGTGCAATAACATGGAGGGTGGTGGAGAACATGAGGGCGGCCAAATACAACAATCGCAGGTCACCTGGGATCACAGGCCAGCCGCTCTCCCACGCCTCTCTGTGCCAAACCACCCGTAGATAGTTATTGGAACCTCCTGTCCTGTCCCACAATACTGATCCATACTACCTGTACTGACAACGATGCGCGATAATCCTACAGTCCGAAGAACCCACCGTTTTGTAGTCCCTCCACCCACGATGGAAGTTGACGGAGCCGTTTGTCCGATGCTGTAGCACCGTCCACCCACCACCTCTGGTCTTCATATCACAGAACACCTGGAATAAAAGGAAAATCACAACAAGCCTTTTTTTTCCTCAGGGCTAGGGAAGAAAGTGTGGCTGTATTGAAAGCTGGCATTGAACGCTTGGTCAGATCCTTTTTTTTACCGGTTAATGATTACATATTTCCGGCTTTAAATCAGGAGACCTTGCAACTTTTAAGAGAAGTAATGGATTTTTTTAGTCCACTTTGGAGCAGCAGAATGAATGGTAAACACATATGTTGTCACTTTATAACACACATTTTTGCCAGAATAATTGTACAGATTTTTCAGACACAGATTGTCTTGCCACCTCTCCTTTGTATCTCCATCAGCTCCTAAGGGAAGTATTTGGCTCTTTAGCAGCTAAAAGCTCCACTGTGTTAACCAGCTTGTCGCTAATTGTCTTTTGTTGCTGGGCAGTTAGCGTGCCGTGGGTTTATCACAGGTTTTTTTTTCTTTTCTTTTTTTCTTTTTTTTGATGAAAACAGCTGCTTAATGTGGCTGGAAATGAGATTGATGACAGAAGTGTAACTGAACTGAAACATTAAAGTTACAGGCCGTAAAATCAAAACAATTAGCAGAAAGACGTTAAAGTGGCCCTGTAGATCTGAAAGGAACTGCGGGTGATAATGCTCAGTGGGTTCATCACTTCAAGCGACTCCTTTCAAAGTACAGATTAGTTATTTAAAAAATGTTGATTAGTGCAGCTTTAAATTATACTTTATATGGACAAATATATGATAGTTTAAGCTGTTTCACTATTAAATAAAATAAAATAAGGGTTAAAAGTGTTAATATTCTTTATAATGTTTTGTATCAGTAGTGGTACCAGTGTTGAGCATTTTTAAACCATTGACAGCTAATCAGTTCTGAGTGTCAATAAACTGAGATTAATTTCAGGATGTTACACTTTACAGTACTGGAGTGGTGTGGTTAGAAATGACAAGAAGAAATAAAACACACTAGAGCTTCTCTGTTATTTGAGGGATGCCTTGGAAGCCTCAGGAATAAGGGGGCGGCGGGGGGGGGCAAACATTTCAGGGTGACACGTAATGATATGACCCAGGTGGGAAGGAAAAACTAACATATCAGCATGTTCTTATCCCCTTAAGTGGGGGTTGAGGAGGAGGCAGATGCGGTTTTGGTTACACACGCTGTTTTCTTTCTTACTTGGCTGCACATTTTGCCTTATGTAGATATATTTGGAAGAGCATATAGGAAGGAATTGCACTTGAAATTTAGACTTGTTAAGGGACTTGTTTTAAATATTCAAGGTGTTTAACTGGACATATTCCATCTTCCCTTAGGTATCATGATTAAATGACTGTGTGAATTTCTCCCATGGGTGGTAAGATTAGCTGCTTTTTGTAACTGAGATCCGTTTTTTAATCGAACAAGTGTATTCAGTTAGCATACTTCAAGGCCACAGGGTTGGATTTCATTAGTTTTCTTAGGGACTATGTCTGAATCTGTACTTAATGTTGCCCACTCAAATTATAGATATTGTCTGTGACATTTCTGACTCGATAACAACCTCCACAGCCTGCAGTGTTTATAATTACTGATGAACTTGAATTGATTTGTTCGGCCAGTTACTTGAATTTCGTCCACCAAACAAACCACCCTGACCTGTCTCAAGAGCCATGCAATATGGATGCCAGGATGTGGACAGACTCCTAAGGGGTCTCTCGATTTCGACATCTCAACCTGTTATTTTCTGCTAAAAATGAAATGAGAGTTTCCAGCACTTTCCCAGAATAGTAAAGCTAAATCAAGCTCAGGTCTTTTACCTCAGAAAACATTGCAGACTGACAATATGCTGTGATTATCCTTTGGCACATTAGGCCAATGTTGTGGACTTAAAAGTGTCACAATGAATACAAAAACAGGGTGGTGAAATTGAATTCTCAATTTAAGTCATTTTCCAAATGCGATTGTTACTCTGATTTAGACCAGATCCATATTTAATACGCCAAAATCACTTATTACTAGCCAGCAAGGAGTCACTGAAGTCAAAATCCATTACAATAAAATGCAAAAAAAAAAAACCAGACCACTTAAGCGTTATTATGATTTTTAAAAAAGATAATGTGATTGTTATTATTTTCAAGGGGCATTCTGGGGATAAAATGGTTACATCTGAATGTGTTTGGAGAAAAGCCCTAATGAGTTTCATTTTATGAGCCCTGTGCTCATGTAGCTCCGAAAAGTATGTATAACAAGGTCACGAAAAATTACAAAAAAGACTCTGATCCAAACTATGAATTATTTGGTCTGTAAGCATCATCATTATTCACAACCTTGGGGAGTAAAAGAATAGAAAGATGGATAGATAACATGGGTAGATCACATATGTGTATGCCTTTTGTCTCTGGTCCAACTGAGGAAGCCCGCTCTCTGCTTCGAAAATAGGGCAATTTGTATCTGCCCCACTTTCCTGCAGCCACCCAGCCCGCCAGCCACATTGGAATTAGATGGCATAGACTGAAAGCAGCAATGATTTGGGGAGTACTAACTTGCATTAGTGGAAATGTACATTGGCCCGAGTTGGCAGGAAACACATGGCACCAGTGCCTAACACCTGGCTGCCTTGCCCACAGGAAATGAAGAGGAAGAACAGGGGAAAACAGAGGCAGTAGGAGACGGTGCCAACCAGCAAACTAGACTGAGAGTAATGAATAACAAAAAAAAAGAACTCTTTCACTGTTATCTTTCTTTTTCCCTGAATGCTAGCTGTGATTCAAAGAAAGGATAGCCTGCTGCTAGATGCCATGGATGAGTTAGCAAAGGCTATCTCCTTCAGGTCAGCAGAGGTACCTCTTAAGCTTTTCTGACTTTGTATTCAGCAGTGCACACTCACTCACCACAAAGCCTGCGGGGCATAATGCTCCTGTTGCATATTATTTTAGCTCTCTGTAACACAGCGTGGCATTTCCATCAGCCTCTATACCTAAAACCCTAGCAAATTACCATTACCTCAGACTAGTTTGTCCTTCCAATGTTTACTGCGGTCCAAAAAAATGATGATAAGCTATCTGAACGTCATTATGTAGTGTGTGTGTGTGTGTACGTGTGTGTGTGAGCTTTACATTACGCAGGCTGGGCAAAACCTGTAAAGTTAATACAAGTGAAATGACCCCAGTGCTAAGTACTGCAAGACAAATGGATAAAATGTCTTACCAAAAAGTTTCATGTCACAGTCAATTAAGTGATATTTGCAAGAAAAGGCCAGTGACCTTTAAAGCCTCACTACCTTGACAGTCTGGGTGGAGTTGGGGAGGCGTATGCTATATATTCCACTCTCTGTCACTCCAGATCGCAGGATCTCCGCACAGTCCCTGAAACTCAGCGACTCCTCCTTGGGCATATTGGAGATTTCTGCAAAAACAGGCAGACATGTGTTTGCAGATGGCAGCCTTATGGGTTTTGCACACAAATCCCAACCCCATATGTGAGTTCTCTTGTAGAGTTAAGCTCTGGTTTAAGCCTTCCTGTAGTGCATGCATGTACGTAGTGTGTCTGAGATTTGAATTACAGGCTGCTCTAGGTGATATTTTCATGTAAAGTGGATTTTTTTGCATCTTAAGTTACAAATCCCCTCCTCATTAATCGAAATACTGAAGATCTCCTTTTTGTCTAAATGAAATTCCGGTGTTTCATGATACTGTTAATGAGTCTTTTTTTTTTTTGCACCGAGGAGGGTAATGACTCATAGGACTGCAATAGAAATTGTGTTGACAATCGACTAATATTTGTTAATCTCTTTTATACCTACAGAACGTTTCTCTCCTTGTGTATATTTGTATCTCTTGTTTAAAAATAAATGATGATGGCAGCACAATTTGCTCTTTTAAAAAACGTAAACCCCTCAGCCTTACCGTTGCAGTGGTTGACCATGGCCAGCAGCTGCTGAACAGTGTCTGTGAGCACGGCCTGCTGCCTCTGGAGTACGGTGCTGTTGAGCGTGGAGCTGCCCAGCTCACCCTGCAGCTGAGTGACCAGTCGGCTCTGCCTCTCCAGAAGCTCATGAAGCTGCTGCTTTTCGCTCTGCAGGCCCTGTAGCTCCCTCCCATACCGAGCCTCCAGTGCTAGGAGCCTCTGTTCCAGAAAACTGTTAAACAGCAAAAATTCATTGAGCATATTATTGGGTTTTTTTTTCTGCTCACCGACTTCTACTCACTTCCTTACAGTGCTTTGGAGAAAAGTTAAAATCTGAAGACATGTTATATCAAGTACTAAAATACATATTGGATTTTAAGCGGGGTGGGGTGGGGGGGTATAAAAGAGTGGGTGCATGTGGAAAATCACAGTGGAGGTTGTGCAAACTTGCACATTTACATGAGGATGACTAATACACATCAGTACGACAGTCTCATCGGGCTAACATCGTATAAACACCTGTACTGCCGCAGCACTCACAGATGGGCCTGCATGCTAAGTCTCTCGATCATGGCCATGAGGCAACAGCCTGTGTGTGTGTGTGTGTGTGTGTGTGTGTGTTTGTGTGTGTGTGTGTGTGTCTGCACAAGTGCCACACCCCCACCTCCAAATGAAGATCATAAATCCCTGCAGCCTGATCTTTATGGCTTTGACTAACGACTCTGCAGCAGTTATTTATCGAAACAATCCAGCCACCCTGATTGAACAAGCTACTTTTCAGGACCGTGCACATGCAGCTGCTACACTAAACGTGCATCTTCAATCTCCCGCTTTAGGCAGCGACTCAATGTGTGCCCTGGATGGAAAGCTGGATCAATCCAAATCATTTTTAACATCACTTCCATTTCATATTTGCATTGTGGGGGAACACTCAATAAATGTGGCAAAGCAAGCTAACAAATTGTTCTCCATTGTGTATATTTTAATTTGAGGAACAGTCAAAGTGTAGAGCGCGGCAGAAAACCAGCACAGCAATGTTTAAACAGTTTTGGGGGGGTTGACAGAACAAATATGGGATTTTGGACCACATTGTATCCTGGGCAATTAAACTGTTATGCTTATGATCTTGTGCTATTTATTATTATTGTAATATAGATATTGCTATTAGTCTACTCTCTCTCTCTCTCTCTAGCTGCAATGTGCTGCACTTCCTGCCAATGCTATTTTACATGTAATGCCTATGAAAACAAACATGTTTCTCTGCTCTTTTTAGTTTGGCAGCAGTTCAAAAACTGGCTTCATGCCCTTAAGGCTCAGCAGCAGTAGCCCCCTACAACCACTGCAGTCCTTAGTTCTCTTTAATTCCACAGCTGCCCGGCTGCAAATCTGCTATGACCTTCCTAATTTCATGAGTCCTGTCATGGTGTTTACCCTTGTGAAGATGAGTTCATTTATATACATGTAACCCACTTGAAGGAAGAGGGCCAAAGGGCAGAGCAGGGCCAAGCAGGGCCAGATGTGTGACAGGTGTTGGAGCTGGGGCACTGTGTTCTCCCAGTCACACTTGGTACAGATGGATGGAATGATAAACAACCGCATACAATGATAGAAAACACTCACTCCCTTTCACACTGCCCAGCACCCTCTCCTTAACCCCTGCTGGCCCCAAGTTGACCTTGTGTTCCTCGAGAGAAGAATGGGAAACCCCTCCTAGCGCGCACTGCCTATTCACTGGCAAACCCACACACGTTTACACAATACACATTATATTGTTGCTAAGTGCCCTGTCGTTCACTTCGGCTGGAGTGATTCAACATGCTCTTTTCCAGTTGTTGTACCAGAAGGGCTAGTTTCATGCATTTGCATCCACAGACACAGTATATGACCATTTTAAGGCCTTTATATTCTGTGTGTAGTAGCTTTTTCCTCAGAAAACATTCTTTGGTGCACAGGAAGAGATGTGTTTTATGTTTCCTATAGCGGCCACACCAGCACATTTGGAAACAGTAAAGGAAAAGCTTGGCAGGCAAAGAAAATAGCACCACCTATAGTAACTAAAGCCTCACTAACAGAAAATCCAAGAAGAAAAAAAAATAAAACACAGCATTATAGCAGGCGCAGTTGTAGACTAATGGCTGATCTCTGGGAAGTAAAGAGCAAAAACAACCACAGCAGTGTCTGCATAACACCACCTCCTGATGTTCAAAGATGAGAGCAAAATGAATTTCGAATAACCACTTTAGCTCCAACCGCGGCACTAACACTTAGTTAATTCTTAAAATGAAGGTCCTATACCTAACAGAAAAAAAAACACCCTGTAAGTTGTGCAGTGCTTTAAATGTGCTTTGCCTGAGTAAACCTTTGAAATGTGAGTGCTCACCTGTTTTTATCACTGAGGCGTGAGATCTCTTGAGTCTGCAGGAGAATATGTTTCTCCAGCCGGTTAGTGAAGAGCGAGTACTCGAGCAGCTGGATCTCCAGGCGACTCGTCTGGTTTAACACCTACAGATTGATGAAAACAGAGGAATAACTGTATCACAATATCTGCAGGTAAAAGGATGGATGAGAGTGATCAGAAATACCAGATGGAGATAGTGATGGAACAAAAATGTTGCCCGTTGAATTTATAAAAAGCCCTTAGAGATGAACGATGTTGCACAGCACATCATGAGGTTCAAAATGTTCATCCTTTGATCTTACAATGAAAACTTTAGCAAGAATTATCTCACACGCACCTGTGACATATTTTGAAGTTGCAGATTAAACAAAAACTTGAGCAAAGCAGCTCAGATATTTGTACAGGTTGCCGTTTCATATCAACTTTGATAAGAGAAAAAGAAAGCATGAGGACCAAAACAAGCCCAGTCTGTAATAACAGCTCTGTGGCATGATTGAAGACACATCTGTGTTGTGCTACTGAGCTTTATGTTTTAATTGGCTTGTTGTCAGACGCCGAGCTCAACTCACTGTGTCAATCAGAGCCTGTAGAACCAAATACCAGCTGTTTTAAAGCAGTTGCCGCCACCTTTGGGCATGGCTTCTCAGCGGGTTACATCTGATTTACATTTAATTAGCCATTCTCCAAGTGTTTCGTAAGTGACATAATTTGTTTTTGCATGGGTGTGATCCGCACGTTTGTTCATTTGGATTGGCTGCAAACACGTTTTCTCAGGTCTAGCCCCAAATCCTTCCTGATGGGCTCACCTGGGTCTCAACATCTGTCAGTTTGCGAGTCTGCTCCGCTGATTGGCTGAGGAGGTTGGTTCCCATCTCGAGCATGGCCGCTGTCTGGGAGTGTACCGCAGTTCTCTTTATTTCCTCCATCCCAGAGCGCACATTCTCCTGGATGAAGTTCTCCAGCTGTAAGGAGAACAAGCAGACGCTGGGAATATTATCCACAATGTCAGATTGTGGTCATAATCATATTTTAAAAGGTAATGTCCCCATAGGTCCACTGACAACTTCATGCCGCAACCTGAGAGCGATCTGTAATTGTCACCTCAATCTTTGATGGAGTCATAGAATTCAGTATCCCCAGGACACTGCCAGTGTCTTACCACCCATCTGTCCTTCTGCCGGTCTGCCTCAGGCAAATACCGAACTCACATTAAGAAAATGATGCAATATAATGGCATTTCGATGGGAAGAAAGAAGAGCAGCACTGGGGTTTGACATTGTGATATTCATGTGCTGGACTTCTGGGATAAGGTCGCTTACACTCTGTAATCAATCACAAGCTCAGAGAAAGAAGCATTGGTAAAAACCCCATCATGTGTTTCAGCAGAGGTAAAAATAGAAGGGCATCCATCTTGCTCCAATAAATGGATTATCTTATTAACGTGGTCGGGTTGAGCACATCAGGCATCAGGAAGACAAATTTGTCTCTTACTGCCGTGAACGATGGAATTTTGTTTGATGTTTTACGTGCAATGGTCTGTGCCTTTGCAATAAGGCAAAGTAGGATATTGAACCGAAGAGCATTAATATTTATGACTTTTCTTGGGAGAGAAGATCAGACTTTATTCGTTAAACCACATGACTGGAAAATGAAGCCTCTGAGGAGAAAGCATTCAGAATTATCCAGCTAATGAGTGGCTATCCGCAAAAAATCGAAGAGAATTCAAATGAGACTAAGTTTGTTTGTTTGTTTTTTTCCCAATACAAATGTCCATCTTAGAGAGGAATAGAATTATAATAATGCACTGTCACAGGAGAGGGGTGTTTCTGTTTTTTATGACATTAAAAATACTGATCGAGGTGGCCAAATAGAGATGAATCGGCAATTAATTGTTTGCCTGCTGGTAATCTTTCTCTCTTTGTCTCTTACTTCCTCTTGATAGCTCTCACTAACTCCCTCTTTCTTTCAAACTCTCCCTCTTCCTTCCTCTTGGTCTGTAAATCCATCTCTCACATTTTCCTACATAAGGACAACTAAGACAGCGCAAAAAATCCCTCCATAACGATTGTTATGAAGAGATTACCAAACGGATTAAAGCCAACTCCAAAGGAAGAACCAAAGATCCCTGCATCATAATCAGCCTCGTGTATTGAAGCCGCTATCAGCCGCCGGTCCAAATTGTTCCCATAACAGCCTTTGATAGAGCTCAATCCAGAGGTCTCGATATACTCCATCTCCCACTGCCAATTGCATTAATTGTAGCTGTGTCATACGCTGCACTGTGCAGCCAGATAAATCACATTTGGGATGTAGTGTAATTCTGTCTTATTGTGTCTGAGAGGGACAGAGGGGGGGGATCAGTGCTCAGAAAATCATAGGAGTTGTATCACTTGATATCTTAATTGTTGAGCAAATAGACACATTTGTTCTCAGCTACCAATTACAGAAGACATGGGAAACATATCTGCTGGATGTTCTGGCAAACGATAATGATTGCACATCAGGATGGGTATGATCATGAGGGACGGCAGTGAATATATGTTGATGGAAATAGTGACTTGATTAATGTGTTAGTGTAACACTATGTCCGTCCACTTTTCATTAGGGAATGAGATTGGTTTAATTTGCATTTCTGTCTCCACCCCAGTCCAATGGAGGAGGGATAAAATCGTGTTTGTGGTGCCCACAGCCCTGTAAAACAACATTTACAAAAATCAACATAAATGATCTTAAGAGCCAATTATTCTGGAAAATCCCAGATCTCGCTGTGGACAGTTTTAATCTCATTCACATTCAGCCACTTTCTGTCGAAGAATTTGTCAGTATTTTCTGTAGCTTCTGCAGAGTAACCAGAAGGCCGAGGGATGTTGCTGTTGAATTTTTAGCCATGCTAGAGGCAAGGCTCTAGGGATGGCAGTGTTGGTCAGTCCACCACTTTAGTCCAGAATGAAATATCTCAAAAAAAATGTTGGATGGATTGCCATTAAATTTTTTACAGATGTGTATTGTTCCTAGAGGGATTCTAATATTTTTTTTATGATCTCCTGACTTTTGATCTAGGGCCAACAGCAGGCCGAATTTTTTACTTATCAATATCCCAACATTCATGATACCCAGAGGATGAATCCTAATAACTTTGGACTTCCCCCTGAATTTTCTTCTAGCTTTTCCATGAGGTTGACATTTGCGGTTTTGAGTGATATTTCTCAATAAGTATTGATGGATTTGATACGGACATTCGTCTCTCCCTCAGGATGAATTGTAATGACTTTGGTGATCCCTCATCTTTTCATCTAGCATCATCAAGTAAAAATTTCAATTCGCCCGATTCTTTTGTTCATGTTGAAACGAATGACTTTCCCATCAACCTTGACTGTACTTTTTGTTTAGTTCTTATTTGCTAATGTTAGCATGCTACTACGGTGAACTAAGATGATTAAAATGATAAAATATTAAACAATACCTGCTAAACATCAGCATGTTAGCATGTGGACGTTAGCATTTAGCACAAAGCACCACCCTACAGAGCTGCTAGCATGAAATAGACTTTTAGCCTTGTTTAAATGTAATTTTTCAATGCTGTGCGCACAGAAAACAAAAGTCCATTCACCCCTGACAGATTAGATGCAAATATAGTAAAACCTCGGCCGAATAAAACCAAAACTATCTGCGTGCACGGATACCACTAGAAGTAACTCAGCAATTATGTTTTGTTTATAATTGAGATGGAAATCGACGGCCCTAGTTTGACACTGTTTAAGATGGAGAACAGGGATGCGTGTTTAATGAAAGGGAAGAAAATGGAGACTAATTGCATAATGTGAATGATGTGGGAGACATACTTTGGTATTGGCTTAATGAAATATTACTTGGCCAGGAAATCGGGTCACCAAGGGTAGCCTAGCCACCTTGATCTCTCTGCAATATTTCTGCATTAGCATAATCTGCACAGGCTCTTAAAAGTACTAACAAAAGCATGCTCACGTCCCTTTTGCCAACCCTTCAGGGCAACAGAAGGCGAAAGGGACTAGATGGGGGGTTACATTAGGGGTTAGTACAAAAGAAAACAAACACTAGTTTCTTCTTGGAAACGGCATAGACGGAAACTTGAATATTAATACACTCCTGTTGCACTCATCCACTTGGAGATTCCTCTGCGGAACATGGCGGATTAGTGTGTGCGCTCCTAGGTTTGTGTGTATGGGTGTGTGTTTTCTTTCAAGAGGTTCAGGTGGAAGACTCACAGTAATGGTCATAACATCCCAGGGGAGCTTTGAGTGAGCTCGTACAAAGTTTCACCGACATACACATGCCTCGAGCTCTTCCGCATGCATACCGTCCGTTTCTCCCCAAAAATTATGCAGATAAGCTTAATGAGCTCCACAAGGCGCTGAAAAGGCTTTGCCATCTTGGGTCAAAGGTTAGTTTTCCCTTGTGCATATCCAAAAGAGGCGCTCTTAAGTTCATGCTTTGTTTATGTGGAAATCCCACCTACAGTGCGATCATTTATGCATCACTGTGGCCTGGTGGGGGTAACGTGTTGAAAGGTTGGATCTTTGTGTTCATTCCAGACGTTTTGTGGAGGAAGTTTGGCAACAGAGCAAGATATGTGTCAGCAGAGCTTTTTCTGGACATGTGGGGGTTTAAACTGCATCTCCTCTTCATGATGGCTAATATAACATCTCTTGTGGAGCGTAAGAAAAGATATGCTACAGAGAACATGCCCAAGATGTAATATGTGATGCTTTTTTATTCAGCAATTGTGCTTTACAGGCTGTATGCATTAATAATATACTGCGCACATGAGGAAAAGTGTATGAACTCTCTCCCTATCTTTGTCTCTCTCCGTCTCTGAAAGACACACATACACACAGTGTGGCCTCCTGGGAAGCTTCCCATGGAAGCTGGGTCTCCAGTTCATTGACTGAGCATCAGACAGAGTGTGCACAGGGGAATTTTGTGTGTGTGTGTGTGTGTGTGTGTGTGTGTGTGTTTTCACATGTGCGTTTCAGACTGTGTCAGGAGAGCATTAGCAAGACAGACAAAGAGTCTGAGATCTGATGGTCGATGAGTCAAGGTGTGAGATTAGACACGTTCATCTCTCCCAGAGCTGCAGAGCAGTCCAGATGTGGCCAGAAGTGACGAAGGGGGATCGAGAGGAACAGAGTGTCAAAAGAAAAAGAAGAAAGGAAAGGAACAAAACAGACGATTTTGTGGTGAGTGAGAGTGGGGAATGACAGGAGCACAGGAAGAGCACTCGCATTCATATTACCCCATTTTCAAATCCTGAAATATAATCAACATGTTTGCCTTCAGTTGGCCAATCTAAACACTCAACACACCGCTTATGATCAGCCAGAGGATTAGTGTCCACCATAAATATTCTGAAAGAGATGCAGACAAGAATAGAGAGACGGGTGGAGAGCGGTGGCGTGTCAGTCAGTCTGTCCTAGACAATGGCCCAATACTGAATCTGTGCCCTGATGACCTTAGCAATGAAAACACTATTGTGAAGCCACTTTAATCGCATCATTTCATTTTAGTCGGTCATAATCCGAGCTAAATGGAACTGCAAAGGCCAACAGCCCAGCAAGGAGACATGCTGAAATGTGTCTCCCACAGATAAACAAAACATTTTTCACAGAGGAAACGTTTTGTATTTTTTATTTAAACTGAGTTTAGTAGAGAGTTTTCACTGACTTTGTCTGGTAAATCAACTAAAGTCAAGAGTTACATTTCTGTCTACTTGTTGCCTGTAGGGGGAAACACTCATTCAGAAGGTTTAACTGTGTGAGGTAGATTTGGCACCGCCTCATATTAGCAAACTTTATTTCATCTTGACTTTCTCCTCTCGCATGCAACAGGGAGTTTTGGTGTCCCAGTGGTCTTAAATAAAGATACACACTCATACACCAGGCGTTGTCATGGAGCCAGATATGCATACAGACAGCATCCAGGAAATCCTAGCTAAGCGCTGAACTTATCAATAATGAAGGCTTGTCTACAAATGTTATCGGATGGTGTACTCCATGGACAGTCCTGTGCTTTTTCTGCAGATTAAAATGCGGTATGTGGAAAAAAAAAATAAGAAGACAACAACAAAACTTAGAGTAAAAATGTTCAATGACAGAGGAGAAAGTGGTTGTTAAGAGATCTTACCTTCTGCAGCCACTGGGTGTTATTCTCCATAGCACTCTCCAGACTCTCCAGCTTCCTCTCCTGCCAGGAAGGCCTCTCCTTTTGGGCCTTACCCTGCTTGGGTTGGCTCGAATCAGGCTCGGCCTCAGGTGGGGAGTCACTCTGCAGGGTGTTGGTGACCTGGAAGTCCTTTAAGGGACGGCAGTGCTCCACTTCGGGGAGGACGAAGGTGTAGCTGCAGGGGCCGTGCTGCACGTGGTGCTGTTGGCGCTCAGAGCCGATTGCGGCGGCCAGCAGGTAGGCCAGGTAGGCGACTGTCAGGGCCAGCAGGCGGCCCATGTCAGGGGAAAGAGAGGGAGAGGGGGGGAGGGAGGAAGAAGGAGGTTGCTCCACCTGGCAGAGCAGACAAGTGGGTCAGGTGAGTTTCGCCTTTCTTCTTCTGTATCACTATCTTTTTCTGTGTCCTGTTAAATTGTCCCTCAAGACTCTCTGTCTTCTTCCGGTCTTCTCACTCCAGCTCCCGCCACTTCTGTCTCTGTTTTATCACTCTCTCTTCTCCTCTTTTGGCTGGTCCTCCTCTCTGCTGTTGCATCCAGGAGTCCTCTTCAGCCCAGCTCGTGCTCCCACTCTTCAGACTGACAGAAAATACACACACACACACACACATACACACACACACACACACACACACACACACACACACACACACACACACACACACACACAACAACACCAACACCACACGACACAGGAAAATAGGATTGCCTTCTATTGTGACTCCAACACTCAGCCAGCGCATGCAGCTCCGTCCAGGAAACCAACAGCAGACTTCCCTCCCACCATTTATCTCTCTTCTGAAAAGTTGCTTTCCTCACTGCCTTCTATTCAAGCTGCTGGAGTCCATGCGTTGGTCTGGAGGAGAGAGAGAGAGGACAGGAGAGGAGGGGTGGAGAGGAGAGTGGCCCGCTTCAGGATGTTGGCTGAAGTTGTAACGCTTTTAAAGTACAGAGAGAGAGAGAGAGTGGCGTTCCTCTCCATACACATGCACTCACACACATGCACACACCTCCTTTGCACATAATCACTCAACCACCCTTCCCTCTTTCATTTTTTCCCTCCTTCTTATGGTACTCCTGTTTGCAGGGGTTAGAAGAGGAAGCTACAAAAATACACACTGCTCACCACAAGAGCAAAAACTAGGAACTTTCTCTGACAACTTTTTGCTCCCTCCCATTCTCTCTGTTTCTCTCTTTCTCTCCTTCTCTCGCTCTTTCTCTCTCTCTCCCTCTCTCACTCTGTTGGTTCATTGGCATGACCACAATTAAGTAGAGTTTTGCCAAAGCATGTTGTATAAGTTTAAGTATACAACATGCTTTGGTATAATAGTATAGTAATATAATAGTTTAGAAAGTTACAAGAAAACACTTTGCTTTCTAATAGAATATTCTAAACTCAACATACACTTACTAGCTGTTCCAAGAGCTTTCAACCACATTCCACAGAGCTCTCTACCATGTCTTTTAAAAGAAGGCTGTGAGATCATATAAAAGGACCAGAAAGAGGTAGTAAGTCAACCTTGAGTTAAAGATATTTTATCACAGCTGAGGACAAGAATAAACCTTCATGCTCAAATAAATGCTTGCATAATACACAACACACACTACACTACACAACTCCACCGGTACACAACATGATATACTATAATGAAAGGAAAGAAATAATTTCTAAAAATCCTTAAAACGGTGTATACATTAGTTTAGTAGTCAAACAATGTAATAATGATGATGGAAATCTAGAGGAGATAGAATATAAATAAGGGGTTAAAATAAAGATATAAAAGAGGAAGCACAAGGTGCTCTACTGTTTTTTTCCCCAGGCTCTGACATGCTCTGACTTATTTTACTGCTAGAAAATTTTTCCCCAAGTCAGATTTTCCTCAAGTAAATACTGAGTTTTGTATTAGTCTGAGAGTGTGTCGAATTTGTTGGGTCAGAGATTTATTTTGGTTCTTCTCTGGCTACAGTGTTACAGAATTGTGGCTTTGTCTCTACCATCTGTTGTTGGTTGAACTAACACTGTCTGTTTTCTCTTGTCTGCCGGTCTCAAAGGCCAGGTGGAGGTCAGACAGTCTGTGCTTAGTTAATGTATTTACTTAAAATGCAACTGTAGCAACTGTAATTACAGGATATACAGTATGATAGGACACTGCAGCTATTGTGTTTAGGAGAAGAAAGCTTTTTTGTGTGTCTAAACCTAAAGATTCTGGGTGGGTGTTTTTCATGGCAGTGTTTGGGTGACATCTGAGAACTGTGGTGCACCACTAAACGGAGAAGTCATACCTACAAACACTGATGGCCCATATAGCGGTAGCTATAAACTATTAATGATTATTGGCAAGTCAACTTGAGTTTTTTTTTATAGTTGATTCTTTATATTTTACTGTATATAGCAAGAGTAGGGCTCAGTGCCTTTTATGTCTGGTATTGAATTTAATTGCTTTTTTTTAGGTTACAAATTAGCCTAATTCCTCTTTATTCTTTTGATTCCAAGGATGTTCTGTCTCTCTCACTCCGTTTTTCGGCCAAACCTTCCTCTCCAAACATTTCCTCCGTCTACGCAATTATGGTTTCATTCATATTGCTGCTATTTTCTAATACATCATAAACGCCCTCCCAGCCTTTATCTCCCGCTGTGCAATGCATGATTCAGTCCACACTACAGCACAGCTCGTCCAGTCAATTACAGTCTGAATGGACGTAGTCACAGCGTGGCACCAAACTCACTTTCAATACATCCTGCTTCTTTTCAATACCCTCCTGTCACAGTGATCAAGTACCACCGACTCAAACGAGCAAAAAAACACTCTCCAAGGATAACAAGAGAGGAAGTTGCCCTATCATACATCCGACATGAAGGCTGTTTGTTTGCTTCCTGCGATCAATACTCCCAAAGAGGAACAAACCAGATTAGACTTTCAAATTCAACATTTTTCTTGCCTTCTCAGTTTTGCCTCTGTCTTTCTGTTTTGTTCGTTCCCATGCTAATATCACATTAGGAGACGCGCTTACAGTATGAAAGCCTTAAGCTGGTGTATACTGTACTCTTCATGCACTGTGGAGTCTTAGCCCTTATCTCCCAAGCATGATGAGCATTCCACACTGCCACTGTTGTGTGGACACCTAATGACCCAGCAGCTTTAAAACACAGCGTGTGTATGTGTGTGTGTGTGTGTGTGTGTGTGTGGCCCCATCGCTCAGCATACCAATGACTCGGATCTATAGCGATGTGCATTGACTCATATCCATCCCGGTCATGCATGCGCTGCATACAGCACCCACCTTCACGAAGACGACGGCTCGATTGATAGATTTTCATCAGGAAATTAACTTCATTGCGTAGATGACGGTGCTGATTTCACTGGCCGAGCTGTCGGAACGAGATGTTCTCCTGTGTAAAGGAAGAAAAACAAAGACTGTTTTACTTCAACCTCGAGCTGTTGTGTTTTTTCTGTTTTTTTGTTTGTTTGTTTTTTTTTTGTTTTTTTTGTTTTATTCTGCGCAGTGTCTCTCTGTAGACATTGGTCAGACATCAAATTGATTAGTGTGTTGATTAATTTAAATGGCTTCCAACTGCTGTTCATAGCAGGAAGAATTCCATTTTAGCGTCTGATCTTGCCATGGATAATAATCAGATGTCGCTTTATGTTCACTTCTCTCCCAGAATTGTGAAAATCTGGAAACTTGAATATGAGTAACACGAGATAATTGAAACAGTTTTCCCACTGAGACAATTTATGCACAAAACACAAACTTAGCTGTTTTTACGTGTGAAAGACATTTGCATGTGAGGCTTGTATGAGCTGAAATGAAAGATGGATCTAGCAAGTGTGTTGGGTAACAGGATGCAACGGAGTAATGATCTCGTGCAAACTTACTGACAATGTAATATCCAGAGGGAGAACTCTGAACGCTGTTCCCCCTGTGGCCTCTTTCTGGAGAGTAAAAAGAGCACATACACATTTTTATTGCACTCAGTTTTTCATATAAAGACAGACTGAAGAGGAAGATGGGATTAGATCTTTTTTGGCAGAGGACAGGAAAGAGCAGAAATAAACCGAGTGGCAATCTGAGTGAGTCACGTTGGAGAGCGATGTATTGATATGATTATTTATGGAGATGGCTTGAACAATCAAAGTGCCTCAGGTTTACTTGTACGTCCAAAAATAGACGGTGTATCATCGGGTTGTTTTCTAGTGTTCAATCACAATATGAGAGTCGATATTAATAAAATATTAAACTGAGTCTCCTTTCAGTTACGTAGCTGGGATATAAGGAAAAAGAGAAAAGTGGCCATGGCTTTGTGCTGAGAGGAGTTTGACTGCTGTCCAGTGTTCTTTCATGAAACAAATACCTGATCATAAACAGGCCACCATCCCATTCTAAAACACTCTGTGTAGTGTCTCCCATAATTTATATGGATACATGCAGGTACAATGTGGGATACAAACACTTAACAGGCTTTCTCTTTCTCACAAACTGCACACATACAGGACATGTATCTGGTCAGAGACTTAAAAACTAATAGTGGAATAAAAAAAATAGAGGTGACCCTATCTCAACAACATGACTGTTACATACTTAGCCACATGATCATTAAATAGAGCATAAACATTACCAGACACACTGAAATATCCTTCTCACGATAAATTATGTTTCAATAAAAACCTGTGTTGATGTATTTTCACAGCAGCCATCTGCACTATTTTTAGATTTGTCTCAGAAAAAATCCAAAGGAAACATCTCATACTTAAGGTTAAGTGCTTTGTTTATTGAAATGTACATTTCAAACATAAACACATTTTCTGCCATATAAAACAAAGTGTGATGTTAAAAGAAATTGCCTGGGGCCCATAACTCTAGGCGTGCTGCAGTGAAACGCTCTCCCTGGGGAACGCTGGTTGTTTAGTTTAGTGTCTCCTGTCAGGCCAAGGTATTTCCCGCTGCTCCCCGAAGGCCCTGAATCAATCTGCCTGTTGGATTTGAAGGTGACATTCAGCCTCCCCTCCCTCTGGTCTGGGTATAGGGACTGGGTTTCTTCCTCGTCTTCATTGCTTGTCACCCAGCCCTGTCCCGTGAGACAAGTGTTATGAAAGAAACAGAAACAAAACTGTTTAAAAAAAAATTTTTAAAAAAAAAAAAAAAAAAAAAAAAAGGTAGAGAGAAATTGATTCTTTTGTGTTAAAAAGGATCAAGATCAGTTATTTTAATTTCATTTTTATAAGCCAAACTTGTTGACAGTTTTCACTGTGTTGAAGCCATCCTTTGGGATTTTGTTATTCTAGTGGAGCAGTGGGGAGTATCCACCCTGTGGTACAGCGGATGTGGGACCCATCACTCCACACAGCAATCTGAGCCTTCCTCCTGGGCAGGGTGGAAAGAGCAGAGAGAGAGACCAGAACTGCCCCAGATTCCCTTTTGAAAGTTCCTCCTTTAAGAGCCCGTCCGAAACACTTAACACCCTCATCCACTCTCATTTACGCACGCTGTCACTCACAAATCACCATCTGTTTAGGGTCTGTTTGTTCAGACTGGCAAATGAGAGAAATGTGAGAAGTGCCCAGCTCAGACTGGCCTGTGATAGTCTGCTGTGG